TGGTGGTGGTGATGGTTGTGATGGTGGAGAGGATGAGGATGATGGTAATGGTAATGGTGGTGAGAATGAACCTGATGCTAATGATGGTGGTGGTGATGATGATGTTAATGTTGATGATGGTGTGGTGGTGGTGATGATGATAATGATGAAGAAGTTGATGATGTTGGGGATATTGATTGTGATTATGGCGATGATAGCGATGGTGATAATTATTATTATTATTTTCATCATCATTATTACTAATGTTGGTTACCCTCTTATTACAGCATTACAGACTGGAGTACGTTCGTTGGGTGGACGAGCTGTTAGCAGAGTCTTTGACCACCTACACCAAGCCAGTCAATGATGAAGGTTATGTTCGTCGATCAAGCAAAAGGTAGATATCCCCTAACATGAGTATGCGCCCTTACCTCCCAGTCCTCCTTGGGTGTTAAAGCTGGGTCAGACAAGAGAGGCTGTAAATAGGGTAAATAGAAACCAGAGCAGTAGTCGATGTAACCCACCCACCCCACCCAAACGATCTGTGTTTTGTGTCTACATCACACTAACGACTCTCCATGTCGGTCTCCATATCTTAATCAACAAGAAAAGGTAGATATCCCCTTTCTCCCATTCCAGTTCTCCTTGGCTGTTAAGGCTGGTTCAGGCCAAAGAGGGTGTAAATAGGGTTTTATTTCAAGTTTTCTGGTTTTCCTCCCTCCGCAAAAATCAACTTTTAGATTGCAATTCGATCATGAAACGAGGGCACAGGTTTGGTATCAACTGGCTATTAAGTGCTACCCCAGTTTAACAAGATCGATTTTTGTTTTTTCAAAAAAGCGACTGGTTTTGAAATCAGTTTATTGAGCTTTCTCGACTCAACTAGAGTCTTGATTTATCACAATGACTGCAGTCACGCTTATCTTGGATTTATAAACCGTTACATCATCATTACTGTTGTTTAACAGGGAGATGGTCAGGGATGTTTATCTACCTCCTCATCTGTATGGAGAGCTGGTACAGAAAAAAAATGGATTTAAAGTTCTGCAGAAAACGGTAATGGTGTTTGAGTTTAATGAGTTGAGTAGTTTTGTATATAGAGCAAGTGCATACATGTTACGTCATAACCACCATCATGGTTGACAATAACAAAGCATTCCTCATTAGCTTTTTTTGTTAGATCAACCAATATGGCGGCTGTTTTATTGTTTTTCATCTCTCAAGGGATTTTGAGTCACGTGGTTGCACATACTGTATACCGTGGAATATCCCATGAGGCACTTAAGAGTGAGCAGAACTAAAAGTATCCAAACTATTGACTGTGAAGATGATCTTGTTGTTCTTGATCTTGTTGATTATTCTAGAATGATATCGAGGAGTGCGTTGGGATTATCAGGGACTTGGAACCTGATTCCCGAGAGAACATCATTCAGATCAAGGCGGCTTTGTGGGCTCTGGTAAGGCACTGTGTATGACTGTGTATGTGGTAAGAAGGGAGAGAGGGAGGGAGAGAAGGAGGGAGGGAG